AGTATTTTTTATATAAAAAAAGTAACAAAAATGTGTCTTGCATATTAGATTGTAAAATAGTAACCATTAGATGATGAGAACCCTTGATAGTCGGTGCTATCACATCATCTAATGGTTAATACTTTATTTTTTTGATACTAAACATTCAGTATCTAAAAATTATATTAGGTGTTGATTAATTTGAAATTGAGTTAGATCAAATATTATAAGAGGGAAGCTTTTTTAATGCATGTCTCTTCATTTTCAATATTTGAATTTGAGACATTACTTAAAAAGAATTGAGTTTTTTTTACTCAAATTAATAGTTCATTGGTATGGTTGATATTTTATAGTTTAGTACAATTCATTCTGCAAAACACCTAACTTAAAAATACTTAATATGTGTAAGTGTGTTTAGTTTAGTTGATTTTGTTTGTCCATAATTTTTTTTCCTTAAACTATCTAGTAAGGGTGTTTGAAAATATAAGTCTATAAATTGATTTCAATTATTAAATAATAAATATCAACTGTTTATCAGTTATCAAATAATAATTATAGGTATCAAATTTTTTAACAATCAAACCAAATAAAACTTTAGAGACATCTATTCAAGCTATACATATAAGAGCATGTACAATAGAAAATAATAAAAAAGCTCGCTTGGATGCCCTATTATTACAATTAATATTATTTTATATTTATTTCAAATAAAATACCTAATAAAACACTTACTTTAATGCATACAAGTAATTAAATAAAACTTTCTTAAAAATTACATCAATATTATTTTATTTAATTCATAATTGATATATTTAAATAAAGGAATTTGAATTTTTTTTTTTTTGAAAAAGATACTTCAGTTGTTGGATTTTAATTTTAAATCCAACGATAATTCAAATAAGTGGCAAGCATTGCTTTCAATGTTTGCAATCATCTATCAAAAAAAAAAAATTTTTTTTAGCCTGAAACTGGGCCTAAATGATGCTGTTTTACCTTTTTTGGGACAAAAAATTTTGACCGAACTTGTCTCAGCAGTTTGAGAAACACCTTAAAATAAATAAGAGTTCTATTTTTATTCGCTTTTAAGAGATAGTAATAAAAAAAATTCTCATCATACATATTCCAGACACTTAAAATTCTTTTTATCAAAAAAAAAAAAAAAAAACACCCCAAGACCACTACTTAGTTGCCAGGCAAGGCTGACCAGCAACTAGTAAGAGCTACAATGTACGGAACAATAAAAAAAACTTTATTTTAAAGTTTTATTATCTTAATTAATATTGTTTTATATAAAATATATTTTTATATATTGAAATCTTAAATAAAATATTTAATGTAATACCTCTTGTATAATACATAGAGTTTTTTTATAAATTATATTAAATTATTTTATTTAATTCATATTTAATATATTCAAATAAAAAAATTGAATTGAAAATTAGAAAAAGAGGCGCTGTAGCATTTTTGTGCCTAAAAGGTTAACAAATTGAGTTTGTTTTGCTTGTTCTTTGAAAAAAAAAAGGGAAAAAAAGAAAAGAAAGGAAAAGAAAAAAGAGCTCGGGTACCTAATATGTTCAAGGGGTAAAATTCTGTCACCATTTTTTTTTTTTCAAAAGAACACTATTGTACATGTTCTAGCCCCCAAGCAGGCTTTGGCAACAGTGTTTTGCTTTGCTTCATATGCGCTGTATATGGAGTGTTGTTAAGGGTACTTACTATTTTATTATAATTATCTAAAAATGATTTAATTCAATTAATATTTATTTATTTATAATTTTTTAATATTTAAAAATATTAATTTTAATATATTAAATAATAAATATATTAAATAATAAATACAAATTATTTTATTAATTATTTTTAGTAATCAAATTAAAAAAAATTAAATAAACTTAACAAAATAATGAATAGTTATAACTACCGCATGTAAAATAGTGGCAAAATACTAAAAATCATCGATTACAATTCATCTACCCAAAACTAATACTTTTGCTTTAAGTGAAATGATGTGTAGTAAAGGAGCTTGAATGCTATGAAACTTAGGCGGATTTTTTTTTCTTTTTTTTGGGTGCCTTTAGCTTGATGTGTTTATTTGGAACGAAAATTTGTAGAGGACTTGATAGAAACAAATGAACAAATGACTTAGTTGAGGGGCCAATCATGTGGTCATTCCAATTTCCAAACCTCTTTTGAAGCGGAAATAACGGAACGAGAATCAAATTATAATGTGATTGATTTTAATATAAAAAGAAGAAAGAACAAGATTTGACTATAAAAGGAAAAATATTATATTATTATGAATGGATCAAATTATAGGAAATTAATTTATTAATTGATTGATTTCAAGGATTTGATATTGATTGTAATTTTATTAATAAAAATTTTAAAT